CCTCTCCCATATGTTAAACATATGTTTCACCAATAAAACCCGTCTTGAGTGCTCATGAAAGAACTTAAATTTTGAAAGAACACTAATATAAACAGCACACAGGATTAGCCTGAAGGAGCCATTCTTACCTCCTCTTGCGAAGCCAATTACGATGTCCGCAGTCCCCCAACTAACCCTCTTGAAGTTCAGTGGGATCTGCATACTCCACATTCTGAGAGCTTTTTTCACGATTTGATCCACTAAAAATCGCGGTAAGTCTGAAGTATAGGATACGATTCTGAAGGCACAAGAATTCAGTGTTTGAGTTCTCAGGAAAAGGGTTTTGTTGACTCCATCAGAATGAGCCAAAGTGAGCCTCACCTGTAGGTGACGATTCTGGAATGCCATTTTGGGCTGTTTGGCATTAGTGAGTATTCTGCAACGTCTGGCACTCCACACCTAGGTTTCTGCATTATTTCCATGATGCGGGGGGATAGCTTTCCAGTCATGGGCAGGCCAAAGAACTTCTGCATTTCCTTGAGTTTGTCCACTAGACTGGTGGCCTTCTTTGTTTTAGAGTCATGAAGGTAAAATTTCCTAAGATAATTCTGGTAGACAGTAAAAAAATCTTTTATTTGAAAATCTGCATCTCTTATCCATGCTGTTGCTGTGGATAGTGATTTGAAGACAAAATTGTTATGCAATTATGGAGTAAAGTAAGTATTTACTGGTGAGGGGAGATGGAGTATTATGCTGTTGAATAAGAAAAGGAGAAGAATGTAACATACTGCATACCTGGAGGATAAACACACCACCCACTTTCTAAAGCTTGGTCTTATATAAGCAGTTAGAAGTGTCAGTGTGTCTTCAGTAAGCACAAGGGTTGGAGAAATGTCTCAGTCAGAGAAGAGCTTACCTTAAAAACCTGAGTTTGATTCCCAGAACCTATGTTAAAAATTGGGTGCTTCTATAATTCCAATACCAGGGAGGAAGAGACAGAGGGATCTCTAAAGACTCCCAATATCAAACTATGGGCTACACACATATATAGACACACAGACACTCAGAAGCACAGACACTCAGGCACACATACAAACACACACACATATACATGCACAAGCATGTATGCACTCACAATACACTCATATACACACATGCAAAACATGCACACACTCACACATAAACACACATACAAACACATACACACTCACATATATACAGACATACAAATACAAGCATGCACACACACAATACACAATATACATGCATACATGCATATACTATACATACACATACATGCACACACTTATGTACTCATACATACATACACATACACACATGCATACACTATATATACACATACACGCACACACATACACATGCACATACTCATACATGCACACACTTACACACTCACACATACATACACACATTCATACATACACACGCTCATACACAGTCTCACATATACATACAAACATAAACACATGTACACATATAAACACACATACATATACACATATACACATACATACATACAGACACATATACACAAAACCACACATATACACTCACACATACATACACAGTTATACATAGAGAGAGAGAGAGAGACAGAGAGAGAGAGAGAGAGAGAGAGAGAGAGAGAGAGAGAAACAGAGAGAGAGAGAGAGAGAGAGAGAGAGAGAGAGAGAGAGAGAGAGAGAAAGTTTGAGCACATAGTAAGATCCTTGGGCATCATAAACCCTATGGGAAGATGTGAGGTCCACTATCCATGGGAGAGCAAGAGCTGCTGCCATGTGGCTGTTATCATTGCCATAAGGAGAAGAAGTCAGATGACTGTTAGTTTAACTAGTCTGACTTAACAGTCCAGGAAGGGACCATAGCTCACAGCATCCATAAGCTTTGATCAGGTTCACACACCCAGTCAGCAGCAGACCTGGTCTGGAAATTCCTTATCTGTAGTCCCCTTTTTCTCTTTCTGCTTTCTCCCCTCAGCCCATTCTGCTGTTAGCATAGCTCATTTAGGAGGTGTCAGAATAAAACAGAACCCCAGATCTTCCCAAGCATAACTGGTTGTCTGAAAGTATCCTGGGGTCTGGGAGTGGGATGGCAGATCTCCAACCAGAACATGAAGCGACAAGACAATTGACAACGGCAGCGAGTCACAAAGGCATTAAAGACCCTTCCTAGGGGCGGGCACACATATACTCCACATTTATTTCAATTAAGCCTTATAACTCTGTAAAGCAGGGATGGAACTCATACCTCTGTTTTTTGAGACAGGGTTTCTTTGTAAAGCCCTGGCTCTCCTGGAACTCACTCTGAAGACCAGGATGGCCTTAAACTCACAGAGATTCGCCTGCCTCTGCCTCCCAAGTGCTGGGATTAAAGGTGTGCACCACCACTGTCCAGCAATGCCTCTGTTTTGTATGAAGACACATGGCTTAGAGAGTGAAGCAGCGGGCAGAGATTGCCCAAGTGTCTGTAATCCACTTCCAAGGAAGTTTCCTTAGGAACAGTGTATAGACTAAAAGCGTGTGCAGTGGGGAGATTGTTGAATGGCTTACCATCTGCTCACTCATTTGCTGTCAGCATTAGAGCATCTGGCAGTGCCTATCTGTTGGAAAACCTCCCATGACTATGCATTTTACCAAAGCAAATTGACCAACAAGATTACCTGTTGCCATGGTGTTTCATTCAATACAACAAATTCTTATTATTCACTCATAAAATCATGAACAAATTATTTTAAAAAAACCCAAAAACAAACATTGTATCCCTTTTTGGAGCTGTGGACTTCAATGAGACACTCTCTGGATGACACATTTGAATTTTTTTTTCTACTGGTTTTGATTTGAGATCGAATCTTGCTCTGTAGTGCAGGCTAGCCTGGAACTCATTGTGTAGCTCAGGTTGGGCTCAAATACATAATGACACTTCTTCTATTAGACAATCTGTGTCCTAAGCAAAGGGCCTAAATACCCTTGTAACAGCATCCTGGAGAAAACTGGATAAAAACTCCTAAAAATCCTATTTGGTACAGTAGAAGCCAGTTATAAATTGCTACATGTGGTTGAATCTACTTTATCAGTCTTTAAAAAAGTCAAACTGAATGTGAAGTATAGCTCTATTTTTCTTATCCTTAAAGCTTATCAGTCATTATCCAATTTTAATAAACAACAACTTATTTGAAGAGACCTGATTTCTGAGCTAGAAAAGCTTATCCTGGTTCCTGTCTCTATTTTGGTAGCAAGACCGTGAGTCAAGGTGACTGAGTTCTAGTCAGGCTAGCGCTGGTGATCAGATGCCACGCTCTATACTGTGTTCCTATGGTCTGTAACCACTGCACATGTGAGCTGCTATCATCATGTTATTGGTCTGCTCGTTTAACCCCATGGGATACAACATAGACGGCGTTATAGCTTCTATCGCACATGCAAGAATGTTGCAGCTTTTCTCCGTGCTTTCTGACTATAGGCGTCTTCACTGTGAGGCTCATTCTTAGTCGTCTAGCTCAGTACAGTTCATGAAAATAATTGCAAGTTGCAATAAACAGCAATAACACTTGCATTTCCTGAACATGGATGGGATTTCAATACTGTATTAAGTATACTATAATCCCTCCACTTGGTGATATCATTAGTTTACTTCTCCAGTTTCTGAATTGGAAAATTTAAGGTCAGAAATGAAATGACATGCTGGAGTCCTCCTAGAGAGTAGATAAAGGAGCTGGCATTCAGTCAGGGTTCAGGAAGGCTTTGGAAGCCAGCTTGGAAAGCATGCACTGCTGTTGTAACCAGGAACATTATGCCCAAGAATATTTACTGCCATGCAAGCACTGAAGGGCAAATCATTCAAAACCACAAGTGGAATGTTGGTGGCAAGGCCAGAGAAGCCCCCCTTCCTCAGAGAGAGAACCATGTACCTGAGCCTGTTCCCACTGATGTGCGCTCACATCTCCAGCTTCCTGGGACAGTGGCAGGGCCAGGCAGCCTGGCAGCAGACACACAGTGCAGAACAGGGTGAGCCGCATAGTTGCCATCAACAGGCAATTGTTCTCAGAGCCACTTTGATGTTTCCTGACAGGGGCTGGAGAAATTTATATGGCTTCTCAGCCCCGAATGTGGAAATAGGTGACTCATTTGCACGCTTTCTTTCTTTTTAGAATTTAGCAACAATGAGGAAGTATTGTGTTTTTATATCGGCAGGAGGAACACATGGCATTTGTCTTTTAGAGGATCCCCCCCACATGCTGAATCCACAAGAAAACTTGTTTTACTTATTGGAATCAAATTACTACTCTTTCAAGTCTTATCAATGACAAAGTTTTGGATCTGTCTTTGTACTCTGTATCTTACAAGGATTTTTCTAAACATTTATAATATGTGGAATAGTGCATAAGTTACAAACAGCATCACTGAACAAGTACTACAGCATCACCAATGCCAAGAAAGAATGAAAAAATATCGCTGCACCAAGATGACTTCTAGATAAATTTATAGATGAATCTCGCCTGGGATCCAGAATTCAGGAGGCTGCCGGGGCAGAAGAATTGCAAGTTTGTGGCTACATAGTGACTATATAGCCAGATCATTGGCTACACAGGGGTATAATGATTCAAATAGGGATGGAAGGAGGAAAGGAAGGGGGAAAGGAAGGAAGGAAGAAGGAAGGGAGGAAGGAAGGAAGGAAGGAAGGAAGGAAGGAAGGGAGGAAGAAGGAAGACCTAGAGCATTGCTGGTGTTTCATAATCCTTTGTAAAGGAGAGAGATGGGCTTTGCCGGTGCAGGGACCTGTGTGCTGCAGGTCTTGCCTCTAACCTTTGCTCTCACAGCCTCCTATCTGAGTCACACTGATTAAACACCTTTAATCAGGTGGTTTCTTTTCTCACTGGGTAGTGCTATTCCTAATTTTCTTCAATTAAGGACTCCCACCAACTCTTCAGGAGAGTCCTGCATAACTCATGTCTGTACAATTAACGAACATTTATAAATGTGACCTGTATCATGTAACCACAGTGCTACGAGATGTTCATTGATCCTTGTTTCGGTGTAAAATCATAGATATTGCTTATCTAATATAACAAGACAAGCCACAGGCTGGGAGAAAATATTGCAAAAATCATATTCAATGAAGGACTATTCTTAAAACTATATAAAGAACTCCTAAGATGCAAGAACACAAATAATCTGATTAAAAAATGCACCAAGGACCCAAACAGATAATTTCCCAAAAGAGACAAATGCTAAGTAAATACAAAAAGATGTCTTCCGTTGCCCTTACCAGGGAAATGTGAACTTAAATAGTAAGTCAATTAAAACCCATCAAAATGCTTCAAATCACAAGCATGAGCGACAGTAAGGGCATGATATATTGGGGACAGTCACTTAAGAATACAGTTTGGCGTGTCTACAACTAAACTTCCGCTTACCATAGGATCTGGCAAATGTACTCTTTACTAGCCATAGAAGAAATAAAAATTTATGCCCATATATCTGCAAGTGCATGCTTATAATACTTCTATCTATACTGTTCAAAACTTGGGAACACTCAAGATGTCTTTCAGAGAGGGAATGGCTGGACAGACTAGGGTAACCCTCGCAAAGGAATATTATTCAACACTAAAAATAAAAGAGCCCCGAGTGATGAGAAGACATGGAAGAGCCTTAAATGAGTGCTGCTAAGCGAAGGAAACCATCAGGAAAGGGTTAAAACTGTGATTCTGACTAGATGCCACTCAGTCTGAGAAGGCAGCAGGCAGATCACTGGTTACAGCCACAGGGTGGAGAGAGGGCGTCCAAGGGATGAACTACAGAGCACAGAGGATTTTTAAGAAACAATAAAATGCTCTGGCATTGTAATGATGAGTACATGTCATCACACACTTGCCTAAACTTTAGAATGGACAACACCAAGAGTGAGCCTGATGCAAGCTATGCATTGATGGGGAAGGAGAGCAGGCAGGGTGTTTGTAACAAGGCTGAAAGCTTTCTAGCCTTGAGTGCAGAGAGTTTGGACTTTATCCTTCTGAAAGAAAAAAGTATTGCCACTGGATTTGGATTGTGAGAAAATGCTAGTGCTTGTTCTGAAGATGGACTGTGGCAGGAAAGACGACTCTGCTGAGGGCCATCAGAGAGAGAGAGAGAGAGAGAGAGAGAGAGAGAGAGAGAGAGATATTT